AGGTAACCTCTAACAAGCTAGAAAATGTCCTCATATGAAGCTAAAGCCAGAGCCATGTAGCCCTCACAGTTATAATGTAAGTCCCGAATGATCACTTACAGATAAGTCCTTAGGAAGATAAATCTAGAGCACCATAAAATAGCCTAATACTCTAGCCCTCTTGTTCCATGTTGCTAAAAAATATCTTTTAGTGTTTATTGCATATACCATTAGTCAAGTTACAAGATCATGGCTTTAATTTGAGCACTAGCATCATACTACCCAATGCAATACCACATAGGTAACAAAAAATCCAGGATATCAAATAGCTAGAAAAATTACTATGGTTGTCAAAGTAGACATATGCATATGATTAGATTATTAAAGTGAATAGGACAACAAGAATGATCACATGGTATACTTGCCTTAAACTTAGATCCTTCTTCTAGTCCAAACCTTCAATGAAACTCCTTCTTGATCAACACGTAAAGCTCACCGACTGAACATGATCATAAAACACCACACAAGCATCCATGCAATCATACACGAAGCAAACAATATATCTAAATTAGAACAGTACACCAATCAATGAAAAAGAATTTGAAATCAAATCTACACGTTACTACGATCACACAGACGCGAAAAGCACTCTAATCGAAACTACGGTGTAAAAGATGCAACTACCGAAAGATTTACTTTTATATAAGAAGAAAACTATAGGCTTCATTTATTTTAACTATATAAATTCATATATATAAGATATTTTATAAATAATTGAATTAAGTCAAATTTAGATTTGAAAGTAAAACAAATCATATTTTATTTATAAAATCCAGTAGCATAATTGTTAATAAAGTTAGAATTTAAACCATGATATTCCAGAGCTCTTGACATGAAAAACATTGATACTAATATGTAGTTTACGTCGTCACGAATCCAACACATCTTCAATGGATCGAATCGGAGCTAAAACGAATAAGTTACAATTTAAACAGATTTTCTTTAGTAAAATAATAGATTAAATCTAACCTAAAATTTTAAAAGTTGAAAACATATCTAACAGTAGTATAAACATGTAGATTATAGAATTATGAACCTAACGCAAGTGAAACAGGTCAAATCGAAGTTAAAACGGAGAAGATATGGCCTAAAGAAAGTAGTGGCAAAACTGTAAATAAGTGGATCTTGATTTTTGAAATAAAATAAATCAAATTCTGATTTTAAAAGGATGGAGGGACTGTGGATACAAATAAAAGAAAGGATAGGGGCTCTTTCGAATAAAATTAGGAACGACGGGTTGAGATCCAACTAATTGTAATGGCCTTTTTGCAAAAGCGACCGGCAAATGGGGTATCTTAAGATCTGGACCGTTGAATCGGGATTGGACGGCGCGGATTGGATCGGGCGGGGGAGAGAGAGGGTGTTGTCGCCGGCGTTGATAGGGACGGCGGCGCCATGGCCAGAGACGGATCACGGATAACCGAACCGAGAGCACCAGGAGAACGAGGGGAGCGAGGCGAACTCACCAAGATCTATTACCGCGGCGTGGAGCGAACGGAAGCGGCGCGCGGCGCAGCTAGGCGGACGGCGTCGACGGCGAGATGCAGCTAGGGTTGCAGCGGCGGCTGCGACACTCTAGGATTAGGGTAGAAAGGCAGCACGGGGTCCTGGCCCGTTTTTATAAGCGCGAAGAGCTTGCGGCGCACGGCAACAGCGGAGTCGGCGCGGCTCCGGACTCTCCAGAGTCCAGTCCGGCGTGGTTGGAGGTAGGGGACGACTAACAACTAGGGCCTACCGGTCGGCGACCGAGAGAGAGTGAAAGGAGCGGCGCGGTGCTGGAAGCTGGGCCGTTGAGCGCGATTTAGGCCGGCCTGCTGACACGGGCTGCGCGGTGAAAAACGGGGCGGCCCAAGAGGAGAGGGAAGCGGCGGGCGACGCTGGGCCGAGAAGGAGTGGGCCTGCGGCCTCGCTGGGCTGCGGTGACATGCTGCTGGGCTACGGAAGAAAAAGAGAGAGATGGGGAGGAGCAGTGGGCCAGGAGGGAGGAGAGAAGTTGTAGTGGCCCGCGCGGGAGTGGGAGCCAGGCTGCAGCTGGGTTGCTCGGGCCGAAAACAGAGAAGTGAGAAGAGAAATAATAAAACTCATTTTCTATTTTCTAAAATATATTTTCAAAACCAATTCCAATTCAAATTTATATTCTCTTTGAAACTTTGATCAAAACCAAACATCACAAAATAATATGCAGCGGCATGAATGCACATACTTGTTGCTACTTTATGATAAATTTTAAATTAATGAAAAATATTTTTCCCTACATTTCATGAGCACAAAATATAAAATTAAATCAATTTATATCTTTTTCAAAAAAAGCAAATTTTAGGGTGTTATATCGAGAGAGGTAACGTGGACTTTTTTCTTTTTTTAATCCACGACAGGCTCTAGGGCCTTTCATCATTAACCAAAAACTCAGCGGTGTCCCCTCAAAAAAAAAAAGCTCAGCGGTATCGCGAGCAACACAAAGTTTAACAAACTCTGAGGGGATTCATCCAAACATTGACATGATCTGGGTCGTAACTCAAACCTAAACTTGCCATCTCATGCGCGGACGTGTTACACAATCCGGGAATAAAAAAACATTCAAAGAATATTGCTACAAAGCTTGCCCCCCGGAGCCAGGTTCATCTCCGAGGACAGAATCACAGAACTGCCTTCTTCAGAAGTGCAGAATCAGTTTCTAGCTGCACCCGTGAAATGCCATTTGTTGCAGCTGACTCTAACTAACGCCTTTAAGCGAGCCACTGCCTCTGCCATCAGTGCATCATAGAGACATAGACATTGGATAATCTGCCAGCCCTTGCCGAGACGACATCCCCGCCCGGCATGGTCCCCGGGTCACGAAACCCCAACCACCCTTTCTCATATCTTGAACAAAAGCACCATCACAGTTACTCCCTCCGTCCTCAAAAGAATGCAATTCTATAACAGTGTCATATTTCAGTATAGCAAGTTTAACCAATTATGAATAAAAAGTATAAATATTTATAATATAAAACAAATATCATTAGATTAATTACAAAATATATTTTCATAATAAATTAATTTAGAGTCATAAATGTGAATACTATTTACTAGAAACTTCATCAAATATGAAGTACTTTAATTAGCACGTAACCCGTAGTTGCATCCTTTTAGGGACTAGCCCTGCAGTGGGGGAATACATTTGCATCTTGAGGCCGACAAGTTTGATGGATGCTTTCTTTACCAACCTCACTTGTCAGCAAGAGGACTGAATGTGCAATCTCTGGACCTGTCATTGCTCTTTTCCAGTCATTTATCTTATTTCTAACATCCCACTACTTCTATAGTAAAACCAGCACCCTGAGACACGTCTCGTCCTTCCAGTCCAAATCGCCGCGGCCCTGGAACAGCGGTGAACGGTGATACGGCTAGCACCTGTAGTGGCGATAAAAGAGAGGAGCATCCACTCCTCATCTGTGTAAATGGCGGAAAGAAACCTCAATTCTGATAGATTCTCCCCAAAGCAAGAGCTCGGCAAAGATAGCGGCTACCACCGCTACTCAGGGGCATCTCCGCTTGCCTCCATGAGATTTGCCCTTGTGCTCTCTTTTCTGGGCAAACTACTCTAAGCAGCTCCACAACATATAGGTCAGCATCACATAGTGTATCTGCTCTCGCACATTACATCGGACCAGATTACAAAGGCATACACGGAACTGAAGAGACCAATAGTGCTTTCAATCAATACACACAAGGAAAAGGTAGGTGATCGATGAACACAGCTGCATTTTTTCCCCCCTTCGAACACATGAACACAGCTTGACTTTGGTGATTAGATTTGGAAAACATATCTCAAAATGAAGAAAGTGGGTAAAGATAAACCCAAATATTCTCAGAGCACGACTCTAGCAGATCACATCAATGGGATGCATAACGCATAAAGGTGTAATCAGTTGCAGTTCCAACATCACCAATATTACAGATAGAACACAGGACAAGGAATTATAGGAATGTGCGATTATTAGCTAAGCTGTGTTAAAGTTCTGAAAATGTCTACCATTCATACCGAACTATCCTGAATAAGTGGATTGCTAAGGAAGCGGAAGTTCACAGAGAACAGGTCCTGGTCAATCACAACCCCTCATTCTAAGAGTAGTGAAAAAAAAAAGTTACTTTATCGTCTAAATGTCAGAAAAATGGATCCTATCCTCCAGTAAGAAAATGCCGTAAGATTGCCTGCCTAGTGTTTATATAGTCTTCTAAAGAAGGTTCATATGTCACTAAGATCTGATCATCTGAATGCACAACAGAAACTGACGAGAATAAACCAGTTGCTTTTCTGATTGCGAACTTTCAGATTCATGAAGATTTAACCTGATCCTGTGGAGATGAAGAAAATGCATCAGTTTCTATGCATGGCTTAACACAAGAAAACTAGAAGAAAAGTTGTTCTTGACTCCTTGAAAGTTCTCTTGCAGTCATGAGAATTTATTAAGGAACAGAAAAGGGTACTTTCAATACTGCACTCTGCACATTTGGCTACTTTATATATCTAGAACCAGGCAGTCATGAGAAAACCAAGAAATAAAATTTTGCACCTATCAGTTCAACACTACGTACCCCAAAGAAATCAGGTGAATCCAACTGAAGTTTAAAGACTGGATAGTTGAACTTAACTAGAATGAAGCCAGCTATTTTTTTTTTTTTCTCAAACATGCAGGAGAGATGCGTATAATCATTATATTAAGAAGAAAATGAAGCCAGCTATTTTTCTGACGGACCAAATTAATTCTAGTTTTTCAATCACCATGCAAGCTTCAATGGACAAAACAGGCAACTGAAGGCTTTGGCAAGTGGCAGCATATAATTCCTGATCAATCTACAGTAAAATTACAGATTACGACAAGGTGTACAATGTGCATCATTCTTGATCAGCCTGAACTTATAGCAAAGGACATGTTTGGATGTCTTATTTGGCCTGGTAAGTCACTGAGGTGCACTATTCATAAATTGGATTCAGGTCTTTGGTATCCAACAGCTGACAACCTGGACGCCCATCGACAGAAGCCACTAGATAAAACTTGCCTTCAAGTTTTCAGATCATATTTCATGTTAGCAAGGTACAGACCACAAGCAGGTGCCAATACGGGGTGCAGCAGTCACCGTCTTTGCATCAAGAATTCTCTCAACTGCATCAAAGGTATTCACTTCAACGCACCATCATGAATCATGAAGCAAAAAAGGTATTCAGATAAGTTGAAGAACATAAAACCAGACCATCTGCAGTTGTTAGATCTCCCGTCCCAACAGATTTTAGAAGACCGACCATCAACCTTACCTGTGTCAAATAGGGCATCAGAGAACTAGCCAAAAAAGCATAATAGTAATAACAAATGGATAGAGCATACAGCTTCCCATATGGACACTGTGACAGCAGCATCCATCAAGTTATAAAATAAAGTAAGTTTGGCAGCCAACACAAATGGTAAAAGTGGTGTCAATGCATTTTACTCTAAAGGCACTCAGATACAAATTGTATCACGTTTAACTATACATAGATAAGACGTGACAAACTTGAGACAACTTGGAGATCCTCAATTACTAGGACATAACAGAGAGATCAGAATTTGACCCAATATCCACTAGAGATCTTATTAACATTTCTGCCTTCACTTCTAACACAATGCATATAAACAATGATGAAGAAAGTAGATCAACTGAGCATCACATCTGGTAGAGAATAAGAGTACTTATAATCATACACCAGCACAAATCACAAGTTTTGGTGTTAATTGACACTCTAAAATCAAGAACAAACATGCCAAGAGTAACTAAGAAATCTATGACGTTCAACAAAAAAAATTAACCTGATGGTAAAGAAAAGACCGTGCCCTTGCAGTAACAACAAAGCAGCGGTGCCTTGATCTCTTCCCAAAGTCTTTTCCATTCTCGAGTTCTGATTTCACACTGCTGGTACAGGAGCCATCAGATCCTTTCCCAGAAGATTCTCTGTCTGGTGTCCTTGAATAAACAAGAGAGCCATTTGATGCTTCCATCTCTGATCTTTCTCCACTTGAAGGAAAAAACATGAAAGGGAATACTTCTGTAACACTAAGTTCATCCAGAGTTCGCATCGGAGAGTTTGCCTGCAAGCAATAGTTACTAAGAGAAATCAATGGCATGCAAACAGTGTTATAAGCCAAGAGAGAACTTGTGAAAACAACAGGTGGAGTTTAGACTTTTTATTCTGTTACATTGTTTAAAAACATAATTCATTGATGTCCTAGGGTTTGGGCATCCCCTTTAGCCAACATAGAGTTAACCCAACATGTTGCAATACTTCAAAAAAACATCACAAAATCAATTGCATGCAAACAGTAATATAACCCAAGAGAGCACTTGTGAAAACAAAAGGTGGAGTTTAGACTTTTTATTCTGTTACATTGTTTAAAAGCATAATTCATTGGTGTCCTGGGGTTTGGGCATTCCCTTTTGCCAACATATAGTTAACCCAAGATGTTGCACTATTTCAAAAAAAAAATCATGACAAGAATCATGTATGTACACAATCAAATAAATCTGCAATGATTTAATCTCAAATTCATCTTTGATGCTTGTCTATTTTGTTTCTTGACATCTAGAATGAATTCGAAACTGAATTGTTGCAGATATACTTAAGGTCATGGGTATTGCGTGCATGATTTATTCACTAATGGGGATGCCCACACCCCTGGACACAAAATATGCACTAGTTTAAAAAATGGCTGCCCAGGTGCATATGTGCTAGGCAACACCCTTCCGTCTTGTGTCTAACTGCCACCTAGCCCACCTAGGCCCTATCCCATGGGCTACCAAGCAACTTTGCTTTTTAAAAGACTTTATTTGTCCTTTTCAGACGCAGCCAAAAAAAGAGAAACATAAATTACGTTATTGAAAAAGTAACTTGCAAAGGAAAATTTAAGAAAAGTGTACTTCACAGCTTTGTAATCTGACCAATCGATTTGGTTTATCAATGTGCGTGGAAAGGCGAAATGTCCCTACAGCAAGGGAGCAGTGCTAGGTACAAGCCTAATACCAGAAGTCCTAAACATCATGATAAAGATATAAAATGTGCCTTTGTCTACGATACACTTCTTTATGAACTCCGTGCACTTCAGAAACCTGATGATTCACAATAGTTAAGAAGTAAATATCACCTGACATCCAGCTGCTCGAAATGAACTGAAATCATGATGGCCAACAAGTATGCTGCATGCTTTCTGAAGAAGAGACACCATCAGTAAAACAGCAGCACAATTTTACATCAGCAAACAAGCAAAATACAGCTACAGACTTCACCTTCATTGCCTGAATATCCAAATCTTCAGATATATGCCAAGCAGAGTTTTTTTCGAAGACAGATGCTGACTCAGGTCCAGAAAGCAAGCGATAGTGATATCTTTAAAAAAATATGAGTAAACATGTAGTATGAACATTTTCAGCATTTCAGAAAGCAAAACAGAGTAAGCTATGAGCTAGCTTAGCTATTATTTTTTTAGTACATATCTTAAAGCTGCAAGCCATTTATAAATACTGGACACAAGGCTGAAATTAGTATATGAACAAGATTAATTTTAAACATGCTCATATTGTATTATATATTACCTACGTGCGCTCTAGAGCTTTGTATCTAGCATGAAAATCTGGTGCAACACAGCGAACATCAGTCACCATTATGTCACCTTCATTCTTCTGCAAGGACAAAAAAGTGGAGCGCATAATATAAATATGGAAACCTAGATAAATCAAATTTAATCAGCAAGACCATATTCTTGTTCAAGAAAAAGTAAACAAATTTGTGTTTATTCAACTCAGTAAACAGATTAATCCAACCAAAATGAAAAGAAAATCTTCAATGTAAATTTTTCATTTTGTTTTCCATGAGTGATAGATTCACAACTTCATTTAGTCCAAAACTTACTAGTAGAAAGTGGTTCACAGCACGTTTTACAACTCCAGGCTCATGAGGTGTTAACTGCAAAAAAAGAAAAGCAAATCAGCAGCAGAAGTTATAAGAGGTACCGCTGTTCTAGAAAACATATTTCTATTTACTTCCTGTGTTCCAAATTATAGGTCACTTTAGCTTTGTTCTAAGTCAAACACCTCTAACTGAACAAGTTTTTAGAAAAACAGATTAACATCTAAAAGCTCAAATAAGTGCACTATCAAGACATTATTTAATAAAACTAATTGATGTTGTAGATGCTGATGCATTTTCTTTAAACCTGGTTAAATTTGGAGAAGTTTGACTTAGGACAAAGCTAAAGTGACCTATAATTTAGAACGACAAAGTAGGTGAGTTAGAGTCAAGGTCAGAAGAAAAAATAATTCTATTGCTTGTAAGATTTTATTTTGGAAAACATAGAAGATGTAAATCAGGCACAACAACAATAATTATAAACATACTTAACATGCAAAGATAAAAAATGAAATAAGTTTAGAGTGCCAATAGATGCAGGCGAGGCCTGGTGAGTAATCAGTGTTAAGAGAAAAGAATGGGTTTTGTGTACAGACAACTTCGCCAGGCTTCCTTTTACTTATCCGCTCCACATCAACATGACAAACATTTGATAAAGCATGAACACCTGCATCCTGAACAAAAGCAAAGGACATTATAGACACATTAAAATAGATCTCCAGAGTCCAGAGAAGTGTGACCAGTACAAGAATAAAGTAGCATGAACAAAAGCAAAGGACGTTAAACACATTAAAATAGATCCCCAGAGTCCAGAGAAGTGTGACCAGTACAAGAATAAAGTAGCATGAACAAAAGCAAAGGACGTTAAACACATTAAAATAGATCCCCAGAGTCCAGAAAAGTACTGAAGAAAAGTATGCATCACAAATCAGTAAAACCACTAATCAGGCCTCAGACCACGGCAACGATCTGATGAACTCTTCCTACACAGCAAAGTACGTTTGGAACTAAGAAGTAGATAAATAAAGCCTCATATAGCATGTCATGCAAGATTCAATCTTAACTCCATAGTTGGCGCTTATTCGAAAAGTACCACCTCCTTTCTCTTTTACTTATTGTTTGGACACCAGCATAGTCTCCATCGCACATCTTTGAGCATTTGTATGTTAGCTATGATTTTGAAAATATAATAATACAGACGTACTTTCGATGAATCTGCTAGTATCATTCCATTTTGCAAATACAAATGCATGGCTGGTAGTTCGTATGCTAGGTCAACATTTCGTTGAGAAAAGAAATAGTAAAGCAGGTATTCTAGGACATCTCAGAACAGATATAGTTAAGCACCATAAGCTCAAAGCAAAAATGTCAACAAGATAGAAGTCCATTGATTTTTTGCCTTCGCATTTGCATTAAAGCAAGTTCTCATACTATGATACTAACCTAGAAGGCAAAGATACATACTAACCTAGAAGGCACTAAATTTATTCACATTTGCATTAAAGCAAGTTCTCATACCGTTCGGCTAGAACAGAATATCGAAACTGGCTGCCCAATAAATTTGTGAAATGCCTCCTGAAATAATAGAAAGAAAAAAGATAAACAGTTAGCTAGATGCTATATAAATATGATTAATTAAGCAAACGCTATATAAATACTAAAGTAGTCGACAAAGAGGCAATAGTTTTGACGGTAAGTATGATTAACTATGTTGCAGAGTTGCAGGTGATGGTGATAATGATGGTGACATTAAAAAAAACAATAGAAGACTTGCTGCTAACATATTGGTGGATTGGTAGTGGCAAGCATTGTGGTTTAGTATTACCGCTGCAATACCATGTGATGTATATACAGAAGCCTCACTGCTTTTGTAGGCCAATGTACAGATGACATGGGAAGGCTAACAGAAAACAATAGCACTAATTCTAATGTATCCCTAAAAAATGTTTGTTCTCTAGTTTCCCATGGAGATTTGTGGAAGACAGAAGGCACAACGAAATTTCCTTCTATTTGAGGCAGACCCTCATTGTTTTGACATGTCTATTTTAATTCCATGGAATCAAATGAGCTGTAAGAAATTTGTTGACTGGAGAGCAGTTACTCTTTTAATACCTTCTGACTATCTAACCTTGCAATTTTCCCTCTCCGTTAGGGAGCCACAAATCTTCAGCAGTCTTCCACCCAGTTTACTGAATAAACTAGGAATTTTTTTACCCTATATGTATCATTCCTGCTAATCTTAGGTCGATCACTAGGCTCAACTATCATCAGCCAATTGTCCTTAAGCATCAGATCATATGAACAAAAAATAGTTCAAATGTCACAAATTTTCCTATTCTTATATCTAGAGTCCCTACCTCTAAATTTTGAAAATGTAAAAAGCCACAAGGTTAGCCAGCTCCTCAGCATCAAGTGGCTTTCCAATTCTGTAACTTCATGTTTTGTGCATTCAAGTGTAGGAGAAGTCTAAAGACTTATCCAGGGTGGGGATTACTGGGGATTATATATTCACCGCTTCAGTAAAAGGGTGAGGATTAAACTAACTAATCTTGTTAGGATATAGGCATATAGTGCAGAATGTTAGATACAAAATACAAAAGATATGTGCTGAAATCTTTGCTAGCATGGATAGTATGATCATGGTAATAATCAGCTACATAATCTTAATCATGTAGACCAGCCAGTAAAGGATGACAAGGGAGGGCATAAAAAAGCCTTTGGGAACAGGAAGCACATGGTCATTTGTACTGATCAGCTGCCAGTTTACAAGTGACAGGAAAAAGCCTTGGAACCATTTTTCATGTCGCGCAACAATATTTAATTAGATGCCCTGAGTTAACAAAATATAAAATGGATGTTTCAACAACATATCTACCATGTCAGGGCATCAACCACCTGATTTTAAGGAGTGGATCGAAAACATTTGCAGCCTCTAATTCAGTGACCTATTCATACATAACTATCACAATTCTCAACCATAGCTAAAGCAGTAATTCCTCCACTGCCATCCAAACAAGGTAGCTAGGTCACATCCAAGACATTCAGACCAGAAATTCACCGTCCCTGCAATTATCTATTGTCCCATCATCCTCAAGGCTATCTCTAACGAAACCCTTGGGCATCAGCGTTTCAACAAAGTTAATTTCAGAATTTGCATTTGCACTACACTAATATTGTCCCATCGTCCTCAAGGCTATCTGCAATTTGATCTTACATCTCAGACTAGCAATAGCAAGCGCCTTACCTCGAGGACGCCGATGACGGTGCGCTGGTTGGGCTGCTGCTGGGAGCCGGCGAAGCGGGTGCCAATGTACTCCACCGCGCCTCGCTCTCCTCTCCCGTCGCCCCGCCGGCGTTGGGTCTGACGGCTCGGAGGACCGCTGGAGCTTGGCCGACGCGGTGGGGTCGTCGAGGGACGGGTCACAGGGTCGCTTGCTTGAGGCGGCGGCGGGGTTGCTGTCGCTCATGCGTGCCCGCGTGGGAGAGGAAGAGAGGGTTTTGGGAGGGGACTGAGAACAAGAAGTGATTTGCACAGGATTTAGGCCTGTTTGGTTGGTCTTTTAGTTTTGGCTTTTGGCCTCAAAAGCCAAAAGTTCAATCAAATGGAGGTTGGTCTTTTAGTTTTGGCTTTTGGCCTCAAAAACCAAAAGTTCAATCAAATGGACTTTTTTTTGAGGATGTTTTGTTTTTTCATAGTTTATTTTTGAAAGCTGGTTTGATCCTGCTTTTGGCTTTTGGCTTTCTGCTTTTCGAAATTGGTGGAATAAAAAGCTCTTCCATAGTTGTTTCAAGAGAGATAAAGATAAAAGGTATATTTTATACTTGTTTAAACAAACAGCTTTTAGTTTTTCTACAGCTCACAGCCCACGGCAGCTTTTCCATAGCTCACAGCCCACAGCAGCTTTTTCCCACAGCCACAGCCCAACCAAACAGGGCCTTAACATTCAATTCATCTCTCTTTCAAAATTTAACGCTAGGACTGTGAATTGTTTCGATTCAAGGTATTTCACCTATTTTCTTTCCTTTTTCTTTTGCTGAAATGTTTTTACCTCTTTCCAGCCACCTGAATGGACCAAAGTATCCCTGGCCTGATTAGATGTGCTTGGACGATGGCGTGAGCTAAAGGGGACTTGTGTGCGTGCGCACGTGCGCCGGGCAGGGTGGAGTTGATTGGCTTACCTTAGATGTGGAACTCACGCTCGCCCTGCCGCCGGTGGTCCAGCCGCAGCCGCCTGATGGTGGCGACAGTGCTGTCCGCGAGCCGCCCGCGGAAGACGGTGTCGTAGGTGCCCCGCCCCACCACGTTGCATTCGCTAAACACGTCCGTCGCGCGCTCCAGCTCTCGGTATGTGAACACATGTGCGCCACGGCTCCGTGGCTGCACCGAGAACCTCAGGCAACTGGCCTTTATGCACCCTGCGCCTACCTAAACGCCTGGTGTTATGGCTGCCGCAACTGGACGTCGGTGCGCCCGGCTTGCCGTCACCGTTGCAGCTGCCGTCGGCGTCCGCCTTTCGCGGACTCGCCCGGCGGGTCACCACCAAGATGACACCCACGACGACGAGCAGCACAAGGCCTATGGCTAGAGCCAACACTGGAGGGCGGCGCCGCTGGATCTTGGCTGCTTCTGAGCCCGTCGGGCGGCGGAGGGTGGTCCGGGAGGGGAGGCAGAAGGGCGTCAAATAGGGCTCCTCGTCGGGCAGATGGGCGGCGAACGGGCGGTCGTGCGTCCGTCTCGCTCGTGAGGTGAGTCACGACGGAAACTGAGAAGGAAATCGATCTCTTTGTTCTATTAGGCCAGGGCTACTTTGGTCCATTCAGGTGGCTGGGAGAGGTGAAAACATTGTAGCAAAAAGGAAAATAAGAGAAAATAGGTGAAATCCCTTGAATTGAAACAATTCGCAGTCCAAGTGTCAAATTTTGAAAGGCAGACGAATTGAATGTCAAATCTTGTAGGCTTGCGAACTCGATGTCAAATATTGAAATTTCTCATAAAAATTATAGAATTTCACAAATCCAACGCAAACTAGTTGTTGTAGTGCCTTTTCTTTCAAAAAAATAACTCTATGTCGATGTTTTACCACCGGTAGCCTGCCACGGGGTTATCCGGGACAGTATGTTCGGGCTTCAGCGTATGTGGAACTCGACGGTAAACGCAAGAGACAGTCGATTTATCCTGGTTCGGGCCCTCGATCGTTGATCGAGTAATAACCCTACGTCCAGTCGGCGTTAGCCCTTGCGTTGGATTGATTGTGTCGTAAAAGTCGTGATCCTCCCTTTGTCTCTAGGAACCCCGCCCTCCTTTATATAGTCAGGAGATCAGAGTCCTAGTCGATTTACAATGAGAAGTTTCTAGTAGGATTACAGAATAATACTACTACTAGGATTACATGGAAGAATTCTAGTTATACTAGATCTTCTCCCTTTCTGGTGGGGTATCCTGTGGGTCCCGCATCGACAAGCCCCCGAGCACTTCATGGTTGAGTTCTGAAAAGCCTCGTCTTATTCCTTCAGGTCTTGCCAAGTAGGAACAAGCGTCGCCCGAGTGCTTCCTTGAGCGAAACCGTGTAGCGCTTCGTGAGATCTTTGGTTGGTGTGTACCTTTTTGAAGAAAAAAGTATTCCCATTTGGGTGTAGCCTCCGAGCCTTTTGCTTTTTGGCACAAGGAGCTGGAGGGTCTTCTCTTAAAATCACTCTGATTCTTCGTCGAAGGGTTCCTGAGCATATACCCGGGTTCTTTATCAAAAAAGAGCTCGGGTATAGCTAGGTCCGGGTTCTTTTTATCTTGATGTCTTGAAGTGATCTATCTTAAAGAAGTCTTCTTGGTGATGTGTGCTTTTTGGAGAAAAAGTGCACTCACTGAGTATAGCCCCCGAGCCTCTTGCTATTTGGAACAAAAAGTTGGAGGGTCTTGGATCTTATGTTGTTTTGCAACTCTTGTCTTGAAATTGAGTGATGTGCGCTTTTTTGAAGAAAAAGTGCACTTACTGAGTGTAGCCTCCGAGCCTCTTGCTATTTGGAACAAAGAGTTGGAGGGTCTTAAATCTGAGTTATTCAAAGAACTGAAAACTTCCCCTGATGCAGCTCCCGAGCATTTTTTAAAAAGAACTCAGATACAGAATCTTGGCATATCCTCTGGTAGTCTGTTGTTGTCAGATGTAGAGTCTGCTGCTTTCAGAGGTAGAGTCTGCTGTTGTTAGGTGTAGTTGTATGGTGGTGGTTGAGTGTAAATGCATTTTGTTCACGTGTTGTACAATGTTGGTATATTCTCCCGAATATGTTTATTGTTGAGTACTGTTCCTTCACGCCTGAGTTCTCTTTCATTGAATTCTGTCTTTTCACCGTGTCCTTTGTTAGGTTTGTTCCGCTGGTGCTCCCGGTCCATGTGCACCGCTTCTTTGATCTATAAATATCCTCCTTATGTACTGTTTTGATTCATTGAGCACTTTGTTGTGTGGTTTGAAATCTCCGTAGTCATGAATATGATAGTTTGTGAAGTAGAGCAGCCTCCGGGCGTATTTTGTAGTTCATGTGCATCTTGTTGTAGCTGGAGGAAGTCTTATGATAGGGATTAGAGGTAGACTAATCCCGCAGTAGTTTCGTACTTGGAAGTATGTGGCGGCAGTTGGAGGAAGTCTTTGTGATGTGGGATGCGTTCCTTCATCTAGTAGTTCTGTGTTGATCCTCGATGCCTGTCCTGAGACTGTCCGGTGCAGATCAACACCATATCTGGTATCATATCGGACTTGGGTAGACAGATGTCTGTAGGCTCCTCTTGTTCCACGTCCCGCCATGCCGCTGATCTCTGCCTTCGATGTGCTATTTTCTTCCTTTAAAGAAAATAGTGTAGCCGGGTGTAGTTTGCTCTACCGAGTAGCAATTTGGAGCACGTAGTCATTCCAGAACCTAGTCGTCTCCGGGTTCCTTTTTGCTACCTTGCCTATCGTAGTACCGAGTTCGTTGGGTCTTGTAAGATGTGTAATCTTGTATCTTTTGAAGTCATTTGTAATGGAATGAATCTTGTCTTCTGAGTTGTCACTTTTTATCCTGCTGATGTCCTGATTTTTTTTAGATTCCTGAGTTCTTTCTATAAGGACCGGGTTGTTATGCTCCTTGTGAGATAACATTTCGTTGCTTCATGGTTGATGAGTTCTTTTTATAGCAATATGATAGCTCTGCCGTTTTGTTGGATGGATAAGTCCGAAATTTGCCCGTTGAACTGTACCGTTATGTGGATTTGTGCCTTCCATCATTTTAGCTGTGTCAGTAAATGGACCGTTGTGTTCTCACACCGTGTTTTAACGGGCCCGGTGGGCCGCATTTTACTACCGTAAAATCTATTTAAAGGCCTTTCATCTTCTCCTTCTTTACTGCTCCGCTTTTGCCTTGAAACACTAGCTTTCAGAAATCCACCGCCACCATTATCGCCGTCACCTGAGCGCCGCCGTCTTAGCATCGTCTTTCCCTAGTGCCCTTTTGCTTCCGCTAGTACATGGGTAGGAAGAAAGCCGCGAGCAAGTCCCAGGCAGCCTTCGTGGACGAGGAGTCATCACTTTCCATGATCGAGAACCAAGAGTTCGTAGCCATGAGGGCTGCCCAGAAGGCTTGGCCAGCTCCGACGACGACTGAAGACCAGCTTCGCGATCTTGTCAGCGATGGTCTAATCCAGAGCAAGGACATTGCTGAATGGAGAGCTCCAGGCGAGCATCAGGTCCTTGCTCCAGGTCCTGGTGAGATTATTCTTTTCGTCTCCTTTATTCGTGCTGGACTTTGCCTTCCAGCTTCCGCCTTCCTTCATCAATTTCTCGGTTATTTTGGGGTTAGTTTGAACCATCTTACTCCCAATGTCGTCCTCTATCTTTCTGTTTTTGTTCATCTTTGTGAAACTTTCCTTAGAATTCATCCTTCTCTTTATCTCTTCCGTCACTTCTTTCGTCTGAAGCCTCAACCCCGCCGTGAAGACACCAATGTTCTTGGCGACTGCGGGATTTAGTTTCGCCAGGGTCTTAAAAGCAAATTCTTTGACTATGACCTGGTTGATTCTGTGAGGGATTGGCGCACTGACTAGTTCTATGCCACCAATTTGATTCCTTCTCTCGAAGTTCATTCTGGATCTGGTCCCTCGGTTAACGACCGGTGGGAAAAGAACTCTCTGACGTCAGACAAGCTCCAGGTGATCCAGCCGTTCCTTGAGCAGATAAGCACTCTGAAATAGCAGGGCTTGACCGGCTTCGGAATCGTCTCGAGTTTTCTTCGTCGTCGCGTTCAGCCTCTGAAGGAGCGAAAGAACTTTGGCTTCGAGTACTTTGGGGCTGAGGATCCTTCACGCATGGTCCCTGCCCTTGAGTTGACCGACGAGGAGGTACTCTAGCGTCTTCAGAAGATACTAAAAGGAGCAAGCGTTGTCCAGCTTACCGTCTCCGAGTACTGTGCAAAGAACCCGCCTCCAGCTATAAGTTGTTTTCTC